CACACAAGGACTTGCAAATTTGCTCCCTAGTAGAGTTTTAGCGTCGTATAACCACTGTCTATTCAGCTTGGAGCAGGGCCAATTCTTTCCAGAAAGTTAGAGATCTTTCCTCATGCCTTTTTGAAAAATGTCGTCTTAATGACACAACAAAACAGCATCATTGGGAAAAGACTGACCCAAGACAATTAGCTGGGTCTGCTCTCTTCTCCCACTCGTCTGAGGGTTTTAAATTATACAAGAGGGCTCCACAAAGATGACTGACTTGCTGATTAAACCTGACAGAGTAGGAGTTACATCCCCTCCCCCGGTACTCATTAAATCTCCAGCTCCGGCGAGAGTTGTAATGAGATTGTTTGAAACAAGGAGCTCAGCTTCGGTGTGTGTTCACATCGTGCAGCTATCTGCGAGCCCGAGAGGGGGCATTTTCTTATGTACATTCATTTCATGTAAACAGCAGCAATCAGATTTTAGGAGCTGAGGAGATTTGTTTATTGTCACAAGGAAGCTGGTTCTCTCACCAAAACTTGTCAGCAGCTGCTTCACGATCTGGTCTTAGACATGTCGTAGAGGACTAAAAACCTTGTGGAAAATATGAGCGCTGTCTTAACGAGATGCTCTGCTCACTTTTTATGAAAACTATGTGTCACCTTGCTCTTCGTTTTAGTTCAGTTTTCAGCATTAGGTCCAATTTTTTAGGGCCGCAGGGATGCATAAGGCTTGAGCAGCAGCATAATTCTTTATGAGCAAAAAAAAAATAACAAAAAAACTATTTGGTTATCACCTGACAAGAATTTTACCAGATAGTCAGCACAGATCAGACTGTTACAGCATCTGGACCTCCTGATGCTCCCTGTTGGTGGGAAGACCAAACAAGTGCTACCATATCCTTCACTTCCTTCACTTCCACTCCCAAATTTCCTCCTGCTGAAGCTCATGAACACTCAACCAACAAGATGATCTGCTGTCTCCCACTCACAGAAACTGTCTATCGTTTATTGTTTATTTATTAATTTTCCTGCATCTGCGTTTTGGATAAAACCTTCTGCTAAATGGCAATGGGAACATAATGAAAGTCAAATGAGTTTGTCCCAAGTATTAAGACAGATGACGTTAGCCTTGGAAGACAACTTCAAATTTTGCAAGGAAAAATTGCAACCCAATATTGAAGGATTTGTAAAAATGTGATAAATGCTACGGCTGGTGGCATTTCAGAAACTCTTCCTTCATTTTTTGCCTGCACTTCCAAAAAAAATATTTTGTTAAGTTCACTTCTCTGCCACGAGAAACTCATCCTATATTTAAAAAACATCTGAGTGTTAATTAAACAGCATCTTATGAGTCAATATTTCTCCTTTTCATTGTCATTCTCATCCAAAATAGAAGGAAATTCTAAATTTGCAGACATAAAAACACATGTAGAATAATTTAGTCCCTGTAGAAGGCAATATAGATAAAACATCCAGTTTTAAAAAATATTTAAAAAATATAACCTGGAAAGGATCCAATTTAGAGGACTTTGCAGGTGTAAAGATGACCCACAGCAGGGATTTCCAACAGAGTTAGAAGATATTTCATTGGTATGGAATGAGGACAGCACTGATAAATGGGTCTAAAAGTCTTATAACCTAAAATATACAAAAATCATAGTTCGCAGAGGCTCCAGCAGCTCTTGGAAAACAAAAAATCTGAGTGGACAAAATTGGTTTTCAATCAGTCCCAGCCCCCAAACTCAGAACTCCCAAATCCATCGTCTGAAAATGACAAAAACTACAGCATTGGAATCTCCAAGTTCTCCTCATTTATTTGGACTAAAAGTGATTAATGTATAGTACAAGTTTTCATTTATTTGTAATTAAGCACTTCATGGTGTGGTACTGGTACTACTAATACTGAGATAGTCTCTCAAAATAAATTGCATGGAACCAGAAAGGGATGTAGCACCTTTGCGATAATGCCATGGAAACCAAACAGCTGCGACCTTTGAGCCGGAGGCCTTTTTAAACATGCATGTTTCAAATGTGTGCATTTCCTCTTGGAATGTGGAACGTTTCCTTTGTGGGATTCCCCTCTTTCACTAATCCGACTTATACACTAGATATTTACAGAGCAGGGCAGCAGTCTCAGGATGAGGGGGAATCCACACAGGTCGGACTACTCGGTTGTGTTCACATCTAGGGCAAAGCGTACGACGCTGCCGCTCCTCCGAGGCTCGGCTCCGTCCAGCTGTGGTTCAGGTCCTCCTCCAGCAGCACCCTGGGAATGATGATGACTGGGTCGGAGAACCTCGTCCTTAGCATCTCTAGGAGGCAGCACATGGTTAAGACACCAAAAAAGGAGACAGAAAAAGACACATAATGAGGCTTTTTCTCTCACTCTAGAACAAATCTTTTTTTGGGTTCAGCTGAGCACCCCGTGACCACTCGTTTCAGGACTGAAAATACAAAATTTGTGCTAGGAATATACCAGATAAAAGTCTCAAGAAATCTTAATTTATTCCAATTTATGTCATATGTGGCACTGAAAATTAGAAACAATTAAATACTTTTTGCCTGCAGGAATACTTCTTTCCTAAGTTTAATTTAGATAGATACAGACTTCTGGATCAATACAATCGACTCACTCACTTAGCCACAATGTCAATGCAAATAACGGAGTGTCAATAGAGCAGTGAGGGTCTCGGGGTGTTCTTTGAGAGTACAGCTACAACATGAAGTACAACAATAGAAAATAAATACAGTACAATCAGCATGCACTTACAGTTTCCTCTGAAATGTGTCTTTCCAAGGCAGCGTCGCTTCCCTCATTCCATTCATACTTATTCCTCATCTCATATCCATGCTTACACTCGTCACATGTTCAAAAAAAGAGTGCGTAGCCTGGATCGCATAACCCAACAAAAACTCAGATTGCAGGTCCAACAGAAAACAGTGGCGGCATGCTTGAGAACAGATATTGAATGGAAAAAAAAGTTTATTGTGTGCACAAAATACGGGTTTTTTTTTAACCTTTAAGATGCAAAGTGATCTATTTTCATGACACCCGTCTCTTAAGTGTGAGAACTTAGTCATGCATTGTACTTAAAATCATGGCGAGTGGGTGCATCGCAGCAGCTGGCTCAGGAATGGTTGGAGATGGCTGGACTGAACTTCAGGCCTCCTTAAGAGAAGCCACCTTAAGGAACCTTAAATGTAGGATGTGACAACAGGCAGGCAGGCAGCTCCCTCTTACACCCCACTACCATTTTAGTGTCCATATGGAAGAGAAATACAGAGTCAACCAAAGACAGCGTGGCTCTAAAGAAAAGCAAAACCGTGTTTGTAATATAAAATAAAGTAAATCATAACTCCATGAGCATGTATGAATGAGAATGAGAGGCATTTCTAGCTCTGTTCAGCTTTCCTTCTCTTGCGATTTTGTGATTACCTGGGATTGGGTAGTGCACAGCCCCACAGATGTTGCTTTAGAGTCTGCACCCAGCCAATATCTCGGATTGGCTGGCAGAGTTGTATGTAGTGGTACTGTTTTAGCACAACCCTTCAAATGAATCAGAATGTCACTCATTAGCACAGGACAGACTGGACACAGCATCATCCAAACGTGAAATCCTCTACAAATACTCTAAGACATATAAGAGACAACAATGTGATCACAGCATGTGTAGAGTGATGTTCTTACTCTAGCTAAAAGGCTGAAAAAGCTCATGACATGTTATTCTGGAATAAGTTTCAGGACATCCTTTCCCGTTCATGTTGCTCCGTGAATCAGGTGAGCTCTTGGAATATATTGAGACACGATGCAAAAAAAACAATATATTCCTCAGTGCTCACGTGAAGGCAACATGCGTGGAGTCGAAAAGATGTCGCAGTTCATGCCAGAAGTCTTGGATAAGCATAGAAAGAGGCTGTGAGAGCAAAATTCTCTTCCATGTGGATAGAGTACATAAATGTTGTCCAGACAAAGACTGGGACGGGAGACAGATACCTGCATCCGCTAACCTTGAACCATTCCTCTTAACGAAAAGAAGCAAAGAAGACACTGCTTTTTCTGCTTTTGGCATTTATTTGTAATGTTTCATTAAATATGAGCAAGCAGATAGAACACAAGCACGTCACATTTTTTTTTTATCCAAGACATAGCTTTCTTTACCATACTTTCTATCCTTATGTGCCTAATAAATACACAAAGATAGAACCGTGGGTGTGTTTACATTTACTGCCCCTACAAGCCAACCCCCCCCCCCCCTTGTGTTACATCACCAAATGCCCCTCCCTCCCTGACCCTCCCACCAATCAAAGGCTGCAAAATGCTAATGATTTGGACCCTGGTCTCTGATGGGGTGAGTTCTCAGCTGGCATAGCAGTGGTGGTAATGGTCGCTGCTCTGTCAGACACCAAAGGATACAAAAACAGAACAGTCATTCAGTAAGCGGGGGGGAGGGGGATGATGATGAGTAGCAGAGGAAGCAGAGAGGTGTGTGTGTTGTTGTGCAGCACAATAACTGGTTGACCCGAGACAAGACTATACTACTAACCCCGAACAAGACGCCCCGCTCTCTCTAAATATATAGAAATGTATTAAAATATCTAGAAAAGGATACACACGGCCTGGGCAGAAATAAATCATACAGGCTTGTTTTGTTGGATCACCTTTAGTACTGTTAGATCAACTGTAATTGTGCACCACCGTTTGTGTTGATGGTGGAGGCCGGCTGCTGTGTGAGGTCTGGACGGGATGTCTCCTCTCCCTGGACCATTGTTATCCTCACTGTCATCTCGGATTATGCCCAGGGGAGAAGAAAAAACTCTGGCTATTTGGGGTATTCAGGTAGTCAGGTGACCTTGTTTCTTTGGACCAGCTGATATTTTTTGGGAAAAATGCCAAGTTATTATTTTTGCTGGTCCTCCAATTTTTTTCAGAAAGGGTCTTTGGTCACCTTACTGCTTTTTAGTTATTGCCACAGTTCTTTCACCTTACTGGGGACAGCAAACAAAAGAGCAGTGCGTGCCCAGTTTCCATATATATATATGTGTGTGTGTGTGTGTGTGTGTGTGTGTGTGTGTGTGTGTACATCTCCTAAGCAGAGCTTTGGACATTTTAAAGCGTTTCCTTTTACCCTGATAGCATATAAAGAAAAATATAAGAGAAAGAAATAGAGTTCTTGGTATACTAACAAATTGATTGTTAAACATAACCTACTGCAAGTTCTCTCTTCTCACTGAGAATATCTGCACCCACCAGAGTTTCACCCCATTTCCGACCTGAAACAATGTCAAGTCACCAGCGGAAAACCAACATTTCAGCAGCATCAAGACAACCTGCCGTTTGTCCTTCAGAGCTGGACAAAACAAGCTAAACATGGATCCAGCAACAGAGCAAATACCAACATGTCACTGTTCATATCAGAAGAAAACATTTGCATAAAAATAACTTGACAGATGACCACAAAACTTTTCCCGATTAATCTGATTCGTCCGTCTGGCGCTCTCTTCCGAGGTGATGTGAGAGCTGCCATTAAGCTGCAACATGAGCTATCTGCTATCCCGTAGCGCTCTAATCACATTGGTCACGGTCATCCTAAGCGGAGTGCATAACAAAAAGAAATAAAGGGAGGCGCGTATACGACTGCATGCTAACGCAAGAGCACACTGTGGCTTCACAGAGAGACCGGTCTTGTTATCAGAGACTGAGTGAGACTGTGTGAGTCGTTATGGCTGGAGGGTCTGACAGCTGTGGGCAGGCGGGATGGACACCGCTCCACTCAAAACAATATTTTCCAGCTCCTTCATGCTTATCCTACGTGGCTCTGATGTTAAAGGTTACATCGACACGCCTTCGTTTCCTGATTCACTGAGAATATTCGGCTGCGAAGCAAACGACTGGTGCATAATCAGTTTAAACATGATCCAGATGGTTACCCATATGGACCGGTTTACACACTGCTGCTGTGTGCAGGGGCATCATATCGAAGGAGCATATGAGGACAACAAGGTTTTTTGTTCAGTTTTTGTCCGCGACAGAATCAAAATGAAAAGAAACACTGGTTTACAGAATCCCACAAAGCTTTGACAGAGAAATATCCACAAAAACAGGCGGCCAGCGGCAGAGACGGCTGGGGTCAGACACTCAGCGTGAATAACCAAGCAACAACATTTATCAAAGATTTTCAAATTTGCTGTTCATTTTTAAGCAGGAAAGTAGTCCAAGGTGCCAATTCCAGAAACTTTTTCTTCCAAAAAACAAAGAACACAAAGAGAGAAACAAATCCTTGATAAACTCAACAAAGCAATCTGGTGAGCTGATCAAAGCCAACCCTTCAGACTTGCTTGTCACGGGGCCCATGCAACAAGAGTCATCCATTGGTTGGCCAGGCAGCCAGTAGCCATGGCAACCTGGAGATGGAGGCGAGCAGAGTGGGGGTGGTGGGTGGCATCAAATGGCGGAGACAGGAAGGAGGATGCGCCCGCCCACTCGTTACTATAGAAATCTAGTGTGGAGTGAGATGGGAAGAGCAGTGGCATGTCATGTTCAGACCCTGACAAATTATTCGAGTATTGTAGTACAAATGTAGCCAAGAGGTAGTGACAGAGGACAGAGAAGAAGAGTGAAGCAGAGCGGCAGAAAGGGAGTGAAGAGGGAGGAGGAGACAGACCAGAACAAAGATGAAGACCTGGGGATTAATTTTGCAGCCTCTGCCTTTGTTTCCCCCAAAATAAAAATAAAAAAGAAGTAGTGCTAAATGATTTTTACTCTTTTGCCTCAGCCAGTTTGTTGTTGATCTCTTTACTTTTCTCCTTGTCCCCCACCGCCGGCCGGCTCTCAGGATGGTTCTCTGAGGTGGTCTTCTTGGAGCCCCTTAGCGCGGCCCCCTGCTTATCTTTGGGTTTCTTCGCCGCCTTTCCCTGGCCCGCCGCCGTGGCGCCAGACTTTTTGGGTTTAGAGCGGGGGGCACTATACCTGTCAACCTAAGGATGGCGGATAGCGGAGAAGAGATTCCTGAGCCGAGGTGTCTCAGTTATGGTTTAAACTGACTTGAACAGGGAAAAAACTTCAATTTTGACATTTTTAAAATCTTTTTCAGGTTTCATTTTCTCTTCCATTCGCCAGATGGATTCAAAAGCATGACAAAAAGGAAGATGGGTCTGCTCTCACCTGTTTTCCGGGTTCTATGTAAGGCTCGCTGTACAAACTGCGTATCCTCCTCCTTTCCTGGGCCTTGTTATCGGTGGGCTGCAGCGGGGCTTGACCCTTGTAGGTGGCACTGTAGCTGGTCTCATGGCTGGTCTTCTCGTCCGGCGGCAGATACTGCGACTTGGCGCGGATCATCTTCACCGGCTTCACATCTCTGTAAGCCTTGAACTCAGTCCTGTGAGGGGAAAGCAGGAAGTCAGCTACCAGAAAAAAGTATCTTTTCTTTGTGAAATTAAAATAAAAACGACTCTAACAATGACTGGAAAGAATGATAAGTTTTCACTGAGTGAAAGGACTCAAAACAGCATTCAAGGTAAAAGATGTTTGAAGTATCTGAATTCTCAGTAAAAGCACTTCAGTGGGTCCTTCATTATGTTCTTCTGAAAAGGAAACACTAGACCATCCATTAAAATGCAAAGGAGCGATTCTGACCCACTCTTACGTGACCCTCGAGAGCCCTCATACTAGATCCAGTTTGTGCTCATAAACATCAGAACAGGAAGGTTGGATTGAGCTTCTTCTTTCTCTTTTTAATTTCAAAACACATGAAAAAGAAATATTTGAGATATTATTATTAACAGATGGCCTATGAGGTGGAATAGAAGCTATTTATTGAGCAGCGTTGGTTTCAGTGCTGCAGGTCCACAGCAGAGCTTGGTGTCAGCGTGGTCTGATTCTCGTTGCAGATTTCAGTACAACATTTATTTAGTCTAATTTTTAAAGAAGAAAAAGGAGAAGAAAAAGGAAAAATGATTCTTAGAGGATTTTTTTATGGCAAACCAATGATGTCTTAGTGATGATAATACCCTGTATTTTTCCACAAAAGTGTAAATTTAGAGCACACATAAAAAGTTACAGCAGCTCTTCCTCACATACTCAGTGGTATCAGGAAACGCATTTGACTGTCTGCATTTGTTCACATATTACTCTGCAAGCCAGCCTTATCTATGCCTGTCACCACTCCTGTGTTTGTAATATATTTGGGGGTAAAGTCAAGTAAGGATGCATTACTACTGAAGAGCAGAGTGTGTGAGAGGTGCAGTGGGTAGGAGGAGGTCTGAACCACAGTCTGATGGAGTGTGATGGTGCCCTCCTCACACAGCACTCCTGAGGAAGGTCAGCAGTGACGGAGCTGACGAGCAGCACATTCACAATCACTCTATTGTGTCGAACTATGTTTGGATACAGAGTAAATGCAGTCACTTACAAAGGCACGCACATGATTCATTGCATTGCCCTACAGTGCTCTTTCTCTGTTGCTTACTTTACATTTTTCTAGTGTGTTTTCCTCCCTCAGCACGTCTTATTTATCTGAAGACTACCAGATTTAAACAAAGGAGTGTATACTGGCTTCAGCAGCTTTTTTATTTATTATTATTCACTTTGATTGATTACTGACTAAATGTTTGACCGAAAAAAAAGTTCTGTGATAATAACCAGTGCTGAAGAGGTACAAAAACAAATGAGACACTATTCATAAGAACATTTTATCATAACATATTTGATGTTGATTTAAGGTTGATACTAGAAAACAAATTACACAACATGCTAGAAAAAAGACCTGAATAAAACTATTTTAAAATATGAAACTGTATAGCAGCATTTGGGAATGTTTGATGAGAGTTTATTTCAGATCTCTCAGACCTCACACAACAGTTGGCTAACCTTTTTCACAAAACATCCCTATTTTTATAATGTCTGAGCAACGAATATACCCATCAGATTCTATATAGTTTCCCTGCTTCCAAACACCTGATTCACATTCGTACACCATCCACTGGCCGACTTGTGCAGAACTTCAGAATCATTTGAAGAGATCTATACACTCTTGCAGGTGTGCAGCATAGAGGCCCCGGAGTACCACAGTTTGAGATGTCTCCTTTTAACCGATGGTGGATGATTCTTTTTTATCAGGTTGAATTGTAGTTGTAGTAGAAAGTGAAAGAAAACAGAAAAATGTGCATAAGAAACATCCTTGGGAATGTGTCTGTACTGATAGACAGACGTGAGCACAGAAAGCAGGAGCCAGATGTTAGGGGCCGCGGACTCCCACCAACGCCACCTCCCTCCAGCAGCAACTGTCACAACCAGCTAACGTCAACACTCGAGGTTCAGGTTATAGATGACAGTGAAATGTTGGCAGGAAGTGCAGACATAGCAAAACATTTCCTGGGAAGAAATTTATAACCCACATCTTTGCTTTTAGAGTTGATACTTTGAGCTCAATGCTAATGTTGTCGTGCTAACATGACAACACACATTAGTATTGCGTATTAACATCAAAAGCTCATTAAAAAATCATCAGAGATGGGACAATAGTGCCATCCAAAACAAAAAAGGATTCATTTTACTGTCAAAGTGTGATTAAAGTTGCTCAAGTATTTCAACTAACCTTTACTATACCATCTTTTAAAAATGTATCCAAAGACCAAATGACATTGACAAATTTGTCAGATTTTATTAATTAATCTCATGTGCATTAAATCCAGAGTTTCATTTATCTAAAGTTAAACTATCCATCATCCCCAAACTCTTAAGCTTCTCATGTGTTAAACCCAAGCCAAAGGATAAAACGCCACTTTGTCAAACTCTGAAAAGCCGTCCACAATAAAAAGCCTGGTGACAGTGGCAGGGCGGCTGAATGCAGAAAGCCTTTTTCCTGTAATGGTGCAAAGGAGAGGTGGAAATCACACAGAGAGCCATTACATAACAGGACTGAAGTCCATTTACAAGGCCGGACTGAGCCAAGAAGCTTTAACGCAAAGACAGGTTATACAACAACAACATCCAAGGCCAAGAGTATAGCACCACGCTGCAGGGTGTGTGTTTGTGAGAAAAAGGGGCAGATTGTGAAGAAAGACAAGGTTCACAGTGTGAAACACCGGCCTGCTCTGTAACATCACCGCTATTCATGAACATATGACTGCGTAACAATAACCCCTGTGTCTCCGAGGTCGATTTGTTCTTGGTACTGTAGAAAAATGAGTTCTGAAGAGGCTTTTTTCTGGTTCACTGTTTGTCAATGAGGCGTCTACCTCCTGTGTATGAAATAAATGTGAGAATAAAGCAGTCTGAGGCTCATATGAGGCTCCATTCTGTTCAGGAGGTCAAAAGGAAGTTAGTGTCAAGATGTAAGCAGCTCTGGGAAAAATGTCAATTTGTTCAGAAATTAAAATTCTGCTTTCTACGTCCTGTTTAGAGAGTTTAGAATAATAGATTATACAACCGGACTGTAATCATTTTTAAATTCCACATCTTTTAGTGGAGGCCATCTAATAGAATTGTATCCAAGATTACAATGAAAAAAATATCTGTGAAAACAACATTGATTTTGGTAATTATTGCTCCAAAGATTGGAGCTTACTTATTACTTATTATTTGAGCTTACTGGTCTTTTACTGGTCTTTTGATCATGTGCAGGAACTCAGCAAAACAAACCAAAAAGGTAAAGACTAAGGTTTCTTTCTTCCAGACCTTCTGTGAGGAAGCTTAAAGTCTCAGACAATGAAAAGCTCTGGGATTAAGAATAACTTCAATGTGGAGAAGAGTTTTGAGACGCCTTCTAATTGACCGAAGAGAGAAAACGCAGAAACATGCTACCCACATTTCTAATCAAGTAACTTCCTGAAAATAATTAAGAAGCTTTGACCAGAGAGGATCCATTTTTCTTATAAAATGACTTAAATATTAGATTACTATGCTTGAGGGCTTTCACATTTTGCATTTGTACATGTGTTCTCCTATTGCAGAACATTAGGTCCGTTTCCCTGGCAGCTTGGCAGGCGGGTCCCAGTGGGACGCCTGGGCTCTACAACCAGCCACTGCCACTAACAGGGCGGAGTCACGCCTGGCTGCAGCACTGCTTCATCTGACTCAGCTCCGACAGCACAAGCTGGACGGCTCCCTGGTGGAAAGGCTTGAGAGAGATGTACTAAAACAGGAAGCCGTGAAAAATGTAGTTTAACGCACAACATGGAAGTTGAATAGCCAATGCTACAGAATTAAAACTTTGTCAAAGGATTCAAACTAATCTCCAATCATTAAAAAAGATAAAAAAATGAGAACAATTAGACCAACTCTGCATCCTGTTGGCCAAGTCAGACTGGGTCAGTGTTGACATGTGTGAGTGCTTCGAACCCTCAACCATTTAGTCTGACTTTCATGTTAAAAGTCTTGTTTTGGTGAGAATATCCCAGGAATTTGTGTGGGTATAAAGCAGCATGATGGATAAACAACCCATCCAGCAGCTCACCTAATACGAGAATATGAACCACAAGGTAGAAAAAAGATCAAATATTCTGCGCATCATGTGTCCGATCACACCAGAATCAAGTCTAACACACTCCCAAACTATTACATTTAACTTCCTCTGCTGCTTTTGTCATAAAGTGTGAGGATTTGCATCTCTAATGTCCATGGCTGATCTTGGAGTTACATGGTCTTTTCATGGGTCTGCGGCTCTGTTACACTGTCCTCTGTAAGCTGAGCGATTTGAGCACAGACACTGCGAAGGCAAGTTTCTCTCTTGATGATTCCCACTCTAATTCTACCCCAGCGCGTGCCGGAGATAAAGGAGCAGCTGGACTCGCTCGCAGTAATCCGGGGCATCGATGTCCCCACGCTCAGCACCACAGCTTCCCTTCCAGACAGAGTTTATCGGTCAGCGAATAGGCACCGATCCTGGCTTCTGGTCAGCCCTCCCTCTTCAACTCGCCTCTTACAGCAATTTTTTTTAACATTTATCGCTCCATGGAACGAGTGTAACGTAGTAACACCAGTGCACCACAAAGCATGATTTTCAAAAACAGTTTCACAATATCTTCACTGTTATTTATCTAGAAAACCATCTCTTAGTTATCAAACATGAAGAAAAAAGCAGATTTCAGGCCAAAAAATAGCTCGTTCAGGACAGAATCAGATCTAAAGCCATGTCCATGTCATGTTTCTGCAATCAGACATGATACAGTCTGATTTAAGTTGCATAACATGGCTAGTTTTAGAGCACAGCACTCTGGACCAATGCAACTACTTTAGCCCACTTTTATGTTTAGGAGGCAGACGAATCAAAGTCTTTTTTTTACAAAAAAGTGGCTATCTTGGGATTTTTGGACTTCCTTCGCAGCTGCAGCCTGGTCTGTCTCTGAGCTGAAGCAGAACAGAAGATGCTGCATTCATGAGCTGTCAGTGCAAACATGAGGCTTTGCAGACTTTCTAAGAGGATCAATTCTAAATCCGCAAGAATCCGCTGCCCGTGTTCTGCAAATTTGACGCAAAAACCTAATTCATTTTGAGTTTATTAGGGTTTTATGCGCCCGGGTGAATAGTAAATCAAAAGATGAGGCTTCATTGCCGTGAGGAATGTGTTGAGCTCGAATACGTGATGCAGCTGTCATAAAAGATTCATGCCTCCTTGGTCTCCATGAACTCGCTGAACCTGCCCTACTGTCACATTTAGGCCCAATTTACGTGACAATCCTTCCTCCAGTCTGCTCTTTGAGTATCTTTTCTTAGCCGACACACATCTAATGATGCCGCAAATGGCACTGACAAGAAGAGGAATAGTCTTTGTCTCACAGTCGTGACGGCTGCGTGGAGCAAATTTAGAGGCTTGAACAGCTGCCTCTGCTTCATCAAGCTTTTTCATGCAAAAAAGACCTTTTGAAATATAAATAGGTGAGTTGACAGCAAAATGAAGGTTGTTAAATGGTGCACCAATTCATGCAAGAAAAGAAGTCATTGGCAGAAAGGAGCAACGGATTCTGTGAAACCATTAACACTTAAATAAACTGCTTGTGTTCCCAACAGGAAACAGCTGACAGGAAAAGTGTATCACAAACACGACCTGATATTCCTATGTATGTAAATATTTTTAGGTGAACATAATCTGAAGGGATTGTGGATTAAATGTGACAAAAATGGCAGTTTCAATGTCCAGGACAAATAATAGCTATGAAAATTGAGCATATTCAACCAAAAAGAAAATATATAATCTCAGTGAGAGTTATACTGGCCTTCCTGGTTCTGGTTCCTTCCCTTTAAAAGGGAGATTTTTCCTCCCACAGCCGCCTAATGCATACCAGTTTTTAGGGAACTGGATTAAACAATAGTCCCAATTAAATCTCTTGATTTCTTCAGATAGGCTCCTTGAATTAAAAATATATACTGATCTGGAATGTAACAACTTGAATTTGACTATATTAGAATAAATGGGATGTTTAGATATTAGATAAATGTGATTTTACTGGACATAAATTGGTCTGTTTCTTTGCAGTGCAATGCACCTTTTGTCTTTAGATCTGCAGCCTCAGACTCTGGCAGAAACCAGCTGATCCTGTCTATGCCGAGGGGAGAGTCGTGCCAAGCAAACCGTGAGGCACCATTTAGTTACAAAAGGGATCTGGTGTGACCTGTACTGGGGGGTCACTCCCACCTAAAGGAAATCAAACATAATTAGGTCCTGTTGAGGCCTCCAGATGCAGATGATCATTGCTGACCATTTAGCTCCAGTCTGGACTGGGCTGTCGGTTTCCTGTTTTGTTGTTGTTCGTGTTCTTCGTTTCCTGTCCTTCTCCTGTGTGTCTGCCACCTTCACTCTCCTCAGTTTCCCTTCTGTACACATCATTAACTCAGTTCTCCTCAACTATGCTCCCTGTCCTCAGCTGCCTTCAGTCACCAATCACAGGACCTCCTCTGTTTCACAGCTTTCCTCGGTTCATGTCAAGCATGTGTTTTTATCCACCTCTCACCTAAATACAGGATGCTACAACATTTGGAGTGCATAAATCTGCATAAACATTATGTTTTGAATAATTGGTCATCTTGTTTCTCATCTTTAAACTTTGAAATATTACAGCTGTTGTAATTTTGTTGCGCTTTTCTTTTGTGCCGTGTGACCATATGCTAGCTAAGTGTGACATTAGCCCACAGCTGACCTGTTTGAGGCTGTGCTGGGAGCAGAAGACAGAGGGCTGACTGGTGCTTCTGCTTGTCACAATGCAGTCAGTTCATGTGGGAAGAAGAGCCCCGAGCGGCACCCTGCTGACTGCTCAGAAACACGGGCATGCCCGAGAGGCGCCACGCAGCTGGGCGACACCTTCACTGACCTCACGCAGCCCCGTCCAGCACTGCCTGCTGCATCTGCTGCATCACAGGTCAGCCAGGCCTCCGAAGCTAACCCACATCTGCCCTCTGCCACAACACCAGGCATAGTTTCATTCTGAAAATGTGTTTCACAAACATTCTCATCTTTTCTTTACATAGATCACAGGCTAAAAAAAATGATAATGGTCAACTCTCAAATGTCCTATTTCATCGCACGATGTCACTAATTCACATTCCCCCTAAACATGGTCCTATGGAGAGGAGGCAGAGCTGCTGCAGGGACACTCGCAGAAGTGGTGGCATGCGTGACTCCACATTTATCCATCAGCTCCCATCATTCTCAGGAAGATTGCATAATACAACGGAGATTACACTCATGGACCTAAACATCAACAGCCATCATGCACCCATTTCCATTTAGCTGAATTACAATTCACCGGGAAAAGCAAAGCCGACTGTCATGTAACGCTTTGAGATGGCATGGAAGAGCTGGTCTGTAAAACGAGTGTTATATAAGTCAGGCCACATAAGTCATGTTACATGAAGAGATGTCAGTTTCCAGGCCCTCGATCATCAACCAACATGCAACGTTTTCTTTCACACCCATCTATTAAGGGATTCTGTGAAAATGTTGGTCATTGTTATTGTATTCTTTTTTCTTAAGCCATTTGTAGTTTAAATTGAAACATAAATTGTACCATACTTTTCTTCAGCCAATGTGTTGATGCTCATTTTTATTTGAGGTATCACTGTTTTGTTTTTGCCGCTGGCAATAATGACCTCCTGCATCTCTCTGAGTCACTTCATTGTGATAGAGGCCTGTTTCTGATCACACTCCTGTTTCTGCACTGCATTTAGTGCCTGGTGCTCTTTACACACTTAGATGGCAGGAAAATGTGAACATACAGCAGATTTGTCAGTAATTGCAAGGTGAATTAAATTCTCTCTCGATGTTCAAAGTACCATCACTATCTAAACACTCAAGGTGGCCACCTCCACATTTCACCTCTTTAATTTGAACAAAACAGTTTTGCTCTGTTCGGCTTCAGGCCCGGTCCTGAGTACCAGAGGTCAGTGGGCCCTTGAACAGATCAAGGCCCACCAGTGAGAGCTGGGAAGTGGATAGAAAACTCACTTGTAGGAGCTTCCAGCTGAAATTTCCTCTTTGATCTGTCTGTTCAGGGCATCCACTGCCGCCCTCCCTCTGCCCTCTCTCTCCCCCTTCAGGACCACCTTCTTCTGCCCATCCAGCTTGTTGGAGCGCTTTTTCCGCTCTTGGCCCTGCAGGAGGTCTTTCTCCTGCACCTTGTCGGCTATAGCGCCCTTCTCCACACCGCATTCCGCAACCGCCAGGGCCACGTGCTGCTTCACGTGCCTGGACCTGTCCGGTGCCCGTTCGTCGGTGGATGGGGGTTTGGTTATCCAGGGGTGGTCGTTTCTCTTGGGGATGGGCCAGGGCTTGTAGTCCTTCTGGTACTGAGTCTCGCTGTTGAACGGTGTTTCCGGTTCGTGGTACTCGTTCTTGGGCTTGCAGCTTGGTTCCGGTCGCACTCTCCAGTGCTTAAAGTCCTCGCGCATCACCGAGCTGCACACGCGCTCCTCGGAGACGCACCGCCGCGGCCCGCGCGCCCCCGTAGCGGCTCGGGCTTCTGCGCGAGAGGGCTGCGTTTCTATGGCGACCCGGGCCTGGGGAGGCGGCTGGAGCTGGATGTGCTGCATCTCAGAGGCGTCCGTGTACTTGGTGAAGACCAAAGGCACGGCGATGTCAGCCTTGTCCAGCTGGTTCCAGAAGCGGGCCATGCAGCACGCCCTGCTGATACAGGGCCACGCCATGGTGGAGCGCGCGCACTTCCACGAGCTACGATGCAAAAACCGGAGGGATCCCTGAGACGAATGTTTCCCAACACTACCGACGAATCCCGATGAGAGAGGATCAAGATGTCCGGGAGGTGCAGGATGCGCGTTCGGCTCAGATGCTGCAGACCTTAAAACGGTTTGGTTTGTGAGTCCATTGCGCTTCCAGAAAGACGCGGATCGGGGCAGATTTATTCTAAACACCAACCTTACAGACCGTGCCCGCTCAGGTTGTCCTGCCACATCACGCCACAGAAGCGCACTGCCCCGCCCGCCTGCTCAGCATCCCGGAGACACCAAACCGGAGGACCAAAATAAAAGTCAAGCCGGACGAATTCACTTCCGGTCTGACCTGCGGCATAAAACGGGTCAAAGATTAGGAGAAAAAACGACTCAGACTGAAAATGGAGCGCGTTTTATGGATGCGAGTTCACGCTGCATCACACACGTGGAGAACCAAAGAACCAGGTCCTATGTGCTTTATTTTGATATGAGCATCTAAATTTGAATAGCTCATTTTGGGGGTTTTTTAGGCAGGGAGCTAAGTTCAAGATAAACATCTTTCTAATGAAGATAATGCCCTTCCATGCCCATAACTGTCCACATAAAAAAAGACAGTATAGTATTAGAATAGTTTATGTTCTATCATTTCTGGAGATAAAGATATAAGACATTACACAATAATCAATTTGTTGGAAGGCATTGCTCATAAAAAGGAAGTAAGTAATTACTGTGCAGAATGCTCCACAGAAATCAGCCTTCCTGTCCTCCTTTTGCACAATTAATTCAAATGTTACAGCCTTCAGTGTCATGCTTCCGGATCCACAGAAAAACAAACATTTCCAGACTTGTATTATATGGCATAAACCAAGAACAATAAAAATACATTTCCCGACTGGATAGTTGGAATGAATAAATCAATGACTTAATCTGTGGACAGGCCGGGGGAAGCCCGGAAAATCACACTATATATTCAATTTTAGTAATCATGCATCCCAAAACTCTCAGAGCACTCAGAAGCTGATTCATCTTAGTCCTCAGTGAAGCTCTCGCTTCATTAACCCACAGTGTGTTTGCACAACATGCAAGGGCCTCTCATCAATTCATCAATCAGGACCAAACCCTGGAGGTCTTCTTTGCCTTTGTTTCTTGTGTATGTGTGTGTTGGCTATGTTCTGATTTCCTTGTGCTTCTGATGTTGTGTCTGTAATTAAATAAATAAAACACATTTTTCTGTCTCAGTATTGCTGCTTTTTTAACCCATTTAAAGATGGATTTTTGTAAGGAATGTTGGTTTTACATTCCTCACAGCCATCTGTGAGGTAGGTTAGAGTCAAGAGGATTTGAATTTCTGACAAAGACTGTCCCTCAGTGGCACACTGTGGCAGCAAAAAGCAGACTACATGAATAATATTGACTCATTACAAACCCCAAAGGCCTGTTTCAGACTGGACTGGAGTCTGGTTAGATATCTGAACACAATTTTATGAAAAAAGGGCTTTTCCTGCTTTTTTCTGCGCCTTGATTCTGTGACACGGCTCTTTAGTTCAAAGGCGTTATCTGAAATTTCTTTCTTTTTTTAGTCCACAATGTTGTATTTGTTTTGTTTTTAAACTGAGTATTGCATTATGTGACAGACTGAAAATCCAATACAATGAGATGGTTAAGCAACACAGGCACTGAATACATGAATAACCAATGAGAAGGTAATCAAAGGAAACAATCTAAAGAGAGAGGCAGATAAAAGTCGTACTGTCCTACACACGGCTTAAAGGTAAAGGACATGGAAACATGCAGATGGGCATTAATGACTCCTCCACTATCTCTTCTTGCTCATCTCTCTTCATCATCGCTGTGGTTAACCCTTTTGATGGGTTGGTTATCCGTGTCACTTCAGCCTCAGAAAAATACTGAAATCATTTCCAAACATTTCAGAGCAACACTGATAAAGTCATTATGTGATAAGGAGTGTGTCAGATCTCTGCAGGGCCTGGAGCTCTCTGCATACCAAACTGAACTTCTGCTGCCCTATTGCTTAACCATAGAGAGCAGTATGTACAACCATAAAGAGCAAAATATTGCATAATCATACTAAACACTGCCTGCCTTTAATGCTTGTAGTAAACCCAGAGTTTAAAGGCTTATTTAGCCCCTGCTCCCACATGTCTTAGGGGTTGGCCCTCTCATTTGAAAGCACTGTGCTCAAGCAGCTGCTTCCCTGCAGGTCAAAAGTCAGATGTGGTTGATATGGACTGCGAAATCCAACATTTCTTGAGCTAGATAAGGTGGTTATTAGGAGGTGATGGTGGAAAGGTGAGCATTGCAGACTTTGGACCCTCTTCCCTGGCTATTTCTCTCAGTCTCTGCGGCAGCACTCCGCTTCGTCTCTCTGCTCTGAATAAAAAACATGAAGATTGATTTTGCGCCTGCAGACGTGCCCCTGGACAGGAGGCTGCAGACGGCCTCCGTGCTGCAGTGGGTCTACTCCTTCCTTGGTCTGGGTGAGTGAATCTAATTGGAACATCTGGAGAGCCACACAGGGTGCAGCTATGCTCGAGTTTTCCCACTTTTTGCAGCAGGGGTTGACATTTGTTCATCTGCTCTTTTTAAGTTGATACTACGAGTTTTTGTATTTTCCAAGTAAGTTTAAAAGTCTTTTCTTCACAAGGGAGAGTTCACCAATACCTGGGCAAAAAGCGTGTTGTTCTTTTTACATTGTTGGCTTGCTATCAGTGCTTAAAGGTCTGAAATATTTCAATGTCTCTAAAAACAACTTTGCCATGCATGATTTTCACAGAGGTAGGGTAAACTTCTATCCTTAAGCTTATTAAAAACTATGGTTATAAACTCTCAGTAACATCGGACAACTGATTCAGATAAGGGGGGAAGGGGGGCGTGTCCTATGAGCCGGGAGGTTTTTGATCATTGTGTCCATCAAGATAAAGAGGATAAACATCACCTCAGTCATCTTATTTTGTGACTTTATTTCACCAGGATATGATCTAACAATCTTAAGAGCGCTGGTCTGAGCTAAATATGGGAAATAAGAAGCCACTTTCAGAATGATAAAATCATGGCTACATTTCATACAATAGTATGCTTACAATGTGTGGCTGAGAACAATGGTCTCTAAGCATAACAGTTTGTGTTTTATGCAAGTCCGTATCACTGTCCAAAGAAGTGAAGAGTTGATAATGTGTAAACTAAAACAGAAACATGATTAGTTTCTGAAGATTTGTTAGAAATATTCATGCTTATTCTTTTTACTTTATTTGAAAAAAAATTTAGTTGTAAAATTTTTGCCTACACACGTTTAACTCCCATTCTTTAGGTTGAACATTTTTTCTTTATTTTGTGCACTGACTGCTTAAATTACCCAGAAAAAAATTACTTTTTTCTTTTTGAATGACTCAAATCATCCAGTTCCAGAGGCTGCATGGCATCATGCTGGAATATTTGCACCCACATAATGTGTTTTGCTCTCATTAACCCAGATTTAAAGGGTTGCTGTTTCCAAACTTTGCTCACAACTGATTTTCTCCCTCCTCAGCACCCACCTGCATCTTCCTGTTCTTTTACCTGCTCTTTACCCGCTTCTGGCTGGTCAGCGTGCTGTACGCCATCTGGTGGGCCTATGATTATGACACCCCTGCGCGCGGCGGGCGGAGGGTGGCCTTTCTTTGTGGGCTCAAAATCTGGGATTACATGCGGGATTACTTCCCCATCAAGGTGAGAGACTGCTTTGAGACTCTTTTCCTTTTCCTTTGTGGCCACTGTCTAAAGTCCATGTGGGTGTGGGACTGAAGGTCGGATAACCTGACCTTTGAACTCTGCTGCTCCTTGCTCCTTGGAGCTCTTATCTCTGACATTAGCTGCAAATGGACCACTGAATGGTGACACTCTTTGTTCACTCTACATGTTCACAACGAGAAATTTCATTTTGAAAGTACTTTATTAAACACAGAAGAGAAGTGAAATTGCCATTTTTAATAGATGTTATTCTTAAAGACATGTAAATGTTGCAGATAGATAATGAAAATTATAATGAGACATGTGGAAACCTGCAGTTAGGGGAGAGGAAGGTGAGTTAGAAATCTCCAGAGGTTACCATATGTTGGTTGAGTTGTTGTTTCTGTAGTTCAGAAGCAGCTTAGCTGTTGATGCCACACACAGCCTGAACTCTCTGTAGAGAACCTGAACACAAAGTCACAGCCAGCGGTCCAACATCTGGATCATCGTGCAGAGAGGCTCCCGGTCATGAAAATGTCCAGGAATGCACCACCTGTTGGCAACCAGAGCTGTTAGAGGTGCTGTCAGAGCTGCTGCTGCTGCCATTTCTCACGGACAGAAATTATCTTACCTTCCTGATTTCCCTGCTGTGTCCTCATGAAGGACATTAGGGGTCCAAGCTTGACCACTTTGTTTGTGTTTACTGAGAGTTGTTGGGAAATAATTCAGGAGCTGAAAAGCGTCTTTGCAAGAGGATGATTTGCAGATAGAAATGTCCCAAAGAGCAGAGGCAGGTGGTGACTGTCCGTCAGGGGTTCAGATCTGAACAACAGGTGGAGGAATCTTGGACAGGAACAGTCTGACAGTCAGAAATCTCAGATGCAAGATGTGTTTACAGTCTGTCTGCGGTCTGAGGCTGAAGGCTGGTAGCAGGAGAAGGTGGCACCAGCACAACAGGGCCAGACGTGGGGTAAAGGGCTGTGGAAAGAACAGAGTTATCCCTCATATACACACCCCACAACACATAGGTTTAAATAAACCTCTCTCTAGAATATGACATGCCTAAATTGAATAGTGTATTTCATTTTATGTTTTGACAATCTTTTGGCTGCAGAAATGTGTTTTGTGAGCTCAGGTGAGATTGTAATAATCCTGGGGTCAGAAAATATGTCAATTTTTAATTAAAATAACTGGCATCACATCCTTTTAAATGTTAAAATGAATCTAATTATACTGAACCAGTAACTTCCACACAGCCAAAGAAAAAACCCCACTTGGTTTAGTCGCTGTTTGTTCAGCCTGTGGTTGCCTGACAACCAAAAGAGCCCCCAAAAGACTCCCAGAAGTCACAACAACAGCCAAAAGAGTAATCTTTCCCCTGCTTTTACTTAAGCAAAACAACACCCGTGATTCAAGCATCACATTTAAATCAAAGTTATTTGATTGAAGTGACCTCCCTCATATCTTTATTTATATTTTATATTTATAGAATGTATAGAGTACAAGAAGGGATCTTGTTTTTTCAGTCTCTGATTGGAGGTCAGTCAGTTTGTTAGTCACATGTTGGAAGTGTGATCTCACCACTACTTCTAAAACATTCACTTTATCTTTTAAAAAAAAGGAAGAAATGCCACACTTGTGGTACAGACAACGGCTCGCTGGGTCCACCTTGTGGTCCTAAAGGAGTATTGTCTCTCTGTATCTCACGTCCAGTTAAAAAACAGCTTCACGTTTCCGCCTCTTGTTTTTTTCCCCCCTGAGCATCTCGTTCCTGAATTCACAGAGAAGATACCCCCTGTCTATCAGCCACTTTACGTCTGTACTTTCTGACATGTGAGAGACTTTGGACTGAACAGATAAGCAAGAGAGCAACAACAATAACATCCAGTTCATCACAGCTGAGAAGATCTCTGCTTAAGTGATGTTAGTTTGCCACAAAGAGTTTAATAAATGTGTCAGAAACTGAAAATTACTACTTTATGAAACATACAAGAATGCTGTTAACCAAAAGAAAGGAACTGTTTTAAAAGATGCTTTAAAAGGAAAGTTTTAAGTCAAACTTTAAGATACAATGTATTTTTTTCTGTGTAAGTGGGTCAGTCCTGTGTGTTCATGAATTAGACCTCTCTGTTATTCAGTGTTAATCAATACTGGGTTGTATCTGAGCTAATCAGATTGGGTCATATCTTTCTGTTCCCACAACAGACAGTAAAATGGGCCCTTTAGATGGAAATAAACATTTTAAAAGATGAAAGCAAGAGCACTATATTTTTTTATTTGAAATATGCTCAAAACATTACGGGTACATCTTATGTAATCATTACTTCACTTGATCTATTTTAAATCATGCTGGATTTGCTGCAGGGAGAAGAGAAGAAAATATACAACACCAATAAAACAACAAATGTGTAATAATTACTCTAACTAAAGGCAAGATAAGCACCATGTAATCACAAAAGACAGGAGAAGACTGGTACCAAGGTAATGGTGTGAAATTATTAATATAAGCACTGTAAAGACTGATAACTATACTTTAAAGTGAACAACAGACATATTTCAATCAAGTCTGATTTCATGCAAATCTAGTTTTTCATTTGAACTATAAGAATAAATTAAATGAACCAAAAGCAGCACTCTCATACATTGCTGTGAATGTTCTTCCGGTGCTGTGCTAATTTCCCATCAGCTGTATCTTGTGAAGGTCTATTAACTGGAAGTTTGAACTTTTGAATATTTCTAAGGAAAATCGCAGTCAAGAACTCTCAGTTTTTCTTTTTAATCCACCTCGTTCAAGGGGAATCATGTCCCACATCATCTGACTGTATGCCGCATTAGGCCGTAAACAAAGAGTCCATGCAAGGGTAAGCAGAGCGAGGGGGCCTAATTGGCTTCTTTGGTGTGCCTCTTCCCACCATTTCTAATTACGCCATCATCTGCTTGGGCGAAAAAGCTCTCTTACTCACATTTTGAGGAAAAACATGAATGTAGACAAGACAGTGACGCATATTCAAACACCGTTAAAGGCTTTCAGAAAAATAACTTTAAACTTACATGAAACTTTCCCTTCAGGTCCTGGAATAGCTGGATCACAGATAACCTATATAAAAATATTTTATTATTAAAAGATTTATTCATTAATAGGAGTTTGCAGATTTGGATTAAACGTCGCAAATTAAACACAGAAAAGCTGTGATTTTATAGACAAATGTCCCGCGGTAGTAAAGGTTTTAAGAGATAAAAAATGGTGACAAAATCAATCAAAAAAGAAGATGCAAGAGACAAACTGATAGCAAAAAAGCAAAGTTTAGGGAATCCCGAGAGTCCAGAAATGACAACATCAACAACATGGACCGAAATGTAGATCATGTTGTGATGGCAACTTCATGGAAAGACTCATTAGAGGAACTGGAGCCAATGATTAACAGTGTGACCTGTGGGCCACCAGCAGCCGTTACCCACAGCATAACAACACGCACACAGCAGCTCTGTGAAGCTCCAGGAAACTCATGACTTGTTTATACGACACAAAAAGTCTTTCCTAAATTCATTCTACAGTCTATATTTGATCAGTAAATGGAAAAAATGGCATTAGATTCTCAGTCAGTTTCCATTTTTGCAAAATACTTAAAAAGAGGAGAATAAAGTGAGAAAAAATCTGGAAAGAACAAGAACATCTGGAATAATTTACACAGGAAACAAAGAGCTGGATCTGACAGGAAAAACCACTATTCTAACTGCTTTTGATGGGCTGTAGTGGACAAATGTGGTCTGACATCAGACATAAATGTTATTCAGTAGGAACACCAGAAACTCCCATTCAGCATTAAGGTTTGAATGCACCGCTTTATGGGTTTGCAGCAGCCGTGCAATGTCCAGTATTTCATTGATCACCTGCTGGATGAAGAAGCTCTAATAGTAGGCTGCAGCCAAAAAGACAAAGTAGTATTGACCAGAAAAAGCCTTTATGATACCGCTTGTGCTAAACTGTTACAGTAAATAGAAGCAAAGGTGCTGACTAATGCATAAGTATGGTTGATAAGATACAATCTATCTAGACACTTTAGTCTACTGGTTTACTATGTAGCACAACCAGTGAGTTTCAGGGTGCAACACTTTGAAAATGAGAGGAAACACTACTTTAAATGTGGTTTCTGTCATAAAAAGGTCTTACCACATTTTCTGTTTGTGACTGACAGACAGAGAGGGAGATAAGGATTGATTTGTGACACCTCTATAGCCTTTCCTCTCAATGAATGTTGAACTGGAAATTGAAGATTCATCAGCTCCACCAAATCATTAATTAGCCAGATCTCAAGAAAAAACTAAGGGTAACAGAAATTATGCTTTTTACCCAAAATTCTTCAAACAAGTATTTCCTGAAAAATGACTGAGATTTATCTGCTGCATCAGAGCTGCCTGAGGGAAGTGCGGGCTGCTTTTAGCCAGGACAGCTCAGTCAGGGTTCAACAGGTCAAAGACAGCGTTGAAATTGATACTGGGTGCACGTGTTTGGATGGCGACCATCTGGGTTACTGCACCGTCAGCTCTTTGGGAAGAATAGGATGATGCAATGACTGATTTTGTTAGATTGATGTGCTTTTAGCTCTGATTAGGTTTGAACAAAATACAAGTACATCTTTTTCTTGTTCATAAAGTTTTTAAATACATCAAAATAATCCGGTAATTACCAGGTCTTAAAAAAAAGTAAGTACAACCTCAGTTGACCAGCAAACATGACTTATTACACTATGTCATCATTAATCTAACAAAAGCTTGGCCAACATGAGATATCTGCATGGCCAGCTGGCACCAGGGCTCCCGGCTGTGATCTCAGTCTCTCTCTGTGCACGTGTGGGGGTCCTCAACAGGCTGTCCAAATATATGCATGTTTGATTACTGAACTATTCGTATTCTGATCATTTGGGCTGATTCTGCAGCCACAGAAAGACGAAGGCGGCATATGACTTATTTATTTGCCTCATAAGTAAACATAAACGATATTTTGTTCTTCTGATGAGTAAAACCTTAAAACCAGAAGGGGATGTACTTTTCTTTAAGCCAGAGTGGTCACATGGAGAGCATAAGATCGATTATTTGATTTACATGCTGTCCTTTATTCTCCCCTCAGTTGGTGAAGACAGCTGACTTGGACCCCAAGCACAATTACATCTTCGGCTTCCATCCCCATGGCGTGCTGGTGGCGGGGGCCTTCGCCAACTTCTGCACCTTCTCCACAGGCTTCAGACAGCAGTTCCCGGGCCTCACCACCTACATGCTCATGCTGCCTCTGTGGTTCAGAGCCCCGTTCTTCAGAGACTACATCATGTCTGCAGGTATGAAGCAGAAGCTCCTGAACGGCCGTCCGGTGAGCTGCCCAGCGCAGCCGTCTCTGTCAGGCCCACTAAAGTGAGCACGCTGCACTTGGAGGAATCGTAAGACTTATCTGATGTTGTAACTTTTCAGGCCTGATTCCTTCAGACAAAGTCAGTGCCAGCTATCCCCTGCACCATCGCCGGGGTGGCAGTGCTGTTGTAATCGCTGTGGGCGGCGCCCCAGAGGCCCTCGATGCGCACCCAGGGAATTTCAATGTGCTTTTGGCCAGGAAGAAAGGGTTCATCAAAATGGCACTGGAGTATGGGTGAGTCTTGGTGCTCTGAGGTAATTAGAGCTGCTTTCTGTGGCAGCTTTTTTAAAAGGACTGTGTCCATCTTTTTATTCGGAAAAGGCAACCTTTTAAAGCACATGTTTATTTAAGTCACTTGCGTGGCATTTCTTGGAAAATCAAACAGTTAGTTTGTAAATCTTTTCAGAAAGAGAAAGCTCTGTAAAAAAGATTTCAGCAAAGTGCAGCTTAAACCTTGGATCATCAGTCAGACTGTGTTTCATGTTTGAACTGGTTCAGAGCCCACCTGGTGCCTGTCTTCTCCTTTGGAGAGAACGAGGTGTTTGATCAAGTGGAAAACCCAAAAGGAACCTGGCTGCGGTGGATACAGGAGCGGCTGCAAAGCATCATGGGTATTTCCCTGCCTCTCTTCCACGCACGAGGCATTTTCCAGTACTCCTTTGGCCTCATGCCTTACAGACGACCCATCAACACCGTGGGTGAGTGGGCAGCTTTGTTTAGGCGTGATGAAAAGGATGCTCTGGTTCACACACTCTCATCACACCTGCTGCATGTAGCGCAAGTTGTGCATTCACTGATGAACAACAACCATCCGCTAAAAAAATCCTGATTTGTTCTTGAAAAAAGCAGTCAGTGATACACTGCTGCACTCTGTTGCTGGAGGCACGCAGCCAGTGTGTTGCAATGCGCATTAGATTACCAGACCTTTAACAGCATTAAGCATAGAGTGCACTGCCTTACACTTTGTCACCTGCCCACAGTCGGCCGGCCAATCAAGGTGGAGAAGAAAAAGAAGCCAACTGTTGAGGAACTGGATGCCCTTCATCAGCTGTACATGGACGAACTCAGCAATTTGTTTGAGGAGCACAAAGAAAACTATGGAGTGGACAAGGACACACACCTGAATTTTGTCTGAGCCGGACGTGAAAGAGAGATGAATGAAATGCATATTTATTTTCAGGGTTCTGGTGCTGTGGGTCCAGATTATTCTACCTTTTGATGAGCCTTGTGTCTGAAAATTCTTCCCAGCTTGCCAATTAAAAACCGAATGCATTAATATGTCTGGACATGTCTGTTAAAAGAAGGATTCAACTGACAGTGAATACTTATTATCTCCTAAAATAAAGATAATAAACTTAAATGTTTTAATGACAAAAATTAGGCATCACCAGAGCATCTTCCACTGAATTTCTGTTTCATTTGGTGTAATGATCCATGCGTTTTCCATCTTAATTGAAATGTGTTTGTGAATCTCTTCCCCATTAAACTCATTAAAATGTCTAAAAATAATTCAAGAGTATCGGTTTCTGTCTCATTTCATTTAAAGTTCCTTCTTCCTCTGGGTTGATAATCACTTTAATTCAACATCCATCTTAACGAGATGTGCAGGACAACATGTGAGGTGGCTCCGGCTGACTTACAGAAGAGGATTAGGTCTCACATGCAGTTGTAGGTCTGAAAGTTGTGTTCCGTCCTGTGAGAACACTTTAGATGGGTCGGACCTGGTTTGGACTTTAAACAGCCAGCTCCGTGTGTAAAGTCTGGAAAATCTCCCAGTGTACCCATAAGTTTAATCCAGCAAGTCCTCAAAAAGAAGCTTTTGTAGAAGTAGTTTGTTGATAAATGTCAGAAGTTTCATAACGGGCTGCTCGCCTTCTGTGTGTGTCACCGTAGGGCCAAAGCAAAAGATTGTTAAGAGGCTTCGGGAAAACTTAGCCTTGTTATTAAATGTCCAACAAAAAGAGCAGCTGCGCCCAATAGAATATCAAAATAAACCCAGAAACAAAAATTAAAAAAATTAAAAGGAAAGAAACACAAAAAAACTGTTAATAACCTGACAAGGGGGATGAAAATAAAGGAGACACACAGGAAGACGGTTGGCTGCAAACGTAGAAGGCATGAAGGCAATAGATGAGACATAGACACAGGGACAAAAGAATTGTAGAGGATGATGAAGAGCAGGAGAGAACAGGGAAAAGGTGAAGAATAAGATAAAGGATGCAAACCCAGAACATGAAAACTGGAAAAAAAAATGGAATACAAGGAATGAACAATATCTAAGAGATGATAAAATAACCAGTCTGTGCAGGAGAGGAGCCACCCCAAAGAGAATACTCGTTGCCTCGGGTCAATTTCACACACAGACTACAGTGTGTGAAAGTGTCCGTTGTTGCACACAATGCCAGACGATCTTTCATCAGGGTTTTAGACTTTGAGCAAGGCCTGACACTTTCTGAAATGGATCATAGGTTGTTGCTGAGTTGCAACATCGTGGATGGCAAAAAAAAGCAGCCAAAAAGCCGAAATAGTATGTTCCAAAAGCTTTACGGTAATCAACTGAGTTTTCTTACATTGATCTCGACAGCAGAACGGATAGATTCTACTTTTCTTTGAAAGTTTGACATTCCTTGGGTACTCCATTGCGTTTATTTTCTGTTTTTTCTATCTACACAAAATCATTGTTTGAATTGTTTGCCTTTTTACACAGAAACTATACCTTTTAGGTCTAGATATGATTGTTTAAACAAGTTTCTCATTTTCATATAAATTATGTCAATATTTGCACCACAGCCAAAAAATAATAACATACCCACAATATGGACTGTGTGGACTAATGAAGCATTAACTGAGGACAAGAAATAGTTGTGCATGTGGGGGAGGTAATAAAGCTAGAAACAGTGAAGATGCTAAATGAGTTAAGGACCTGAGGGAATTTAGACTGATTCAGTCGTCTCCCTTAGTTTATGATGGATCAAGCCCCTCTGGATGAAAGAAATACCAGTAATCTGTCCCACAATTTCTGCTGTAAGAAATGTCCCTGCAGGCTTTGGTTTTGGGATCCATGTGAATGCGTATGAGAAGACTGGAAGGCAAGCATGAGCAAACATTGTGACAACTATCTGATGTAGCCTTTATTGGCCGTTGATATGATCTAATGTCCAACATTGGGACTTTGTCCGGCTTAACGCTGCAGACCCACATTCACATCATTCACTGCCACAGATTTTATGAACTGAAGGGTTTTCAAAGTCTGCTATCGTATGGAGAAAGAACATCACTCTTAGTTCATTTTGTTGTTTGTTGGAAAACAACTGGGGCCATTATGAATCACCATTTTAATATTTCTTTGTGCAAAGAAAATTCACTTTGTATCTCCATAGGGCCAGTTCCACACTATTTCCACTGTATGAAACATGAAAAAGGCTAATTACAGGTGAATCACACTATGATTCATACAATTGATTAACTAGCGTACGTGTGTAACCGAGGTAAAAAATTTGTTGGACGAGTGTTCATTTTCTGGTTATTGATCACCAAAATGATAAGGATGTCTGTTAACTTTGGCAGAAACTTTCATATTAGATTGCAGCGCTGTGATATTTCCAAATGAAATGACCGGCAGACTGGACCATGTCCAGATGCTTTCAACATTGTGTGGACAAGACTTGTGTGTGGCTGCACGCTGAGCCTCAGAAAAAGCTGACTAAGGGTAAAACATTACATCAGGAATCTGATGCAAAAATTAGACATTAAAATTAAAGAGGATTAAGGGGATATTAATATTTTCATAAAGATAATTTTACTAAGTTAAAATGACATTTAGTGTTGGGAGTTGCTTGTTGTCCTTCTCTGCTTGCATAAACTTTAAAGAGCATAACAATGTTATTGACTTATTTTTCAAGACACTGGTCAAAGTACAAAATAAGTTCCGGTGTTTATGGAATCCTGTAGTGTATCTTATCTTAGCTTTTGTGAAAAGACAGCAAAACTTACAGTATGTGGTCCTTGGTGTCGGAAATATATTGAATCGATCTTCCAATTCTCGGAAATATTTGAATGATTCACTGAGATATTCAATCAACCAGCCAGAATATGTTGGTGCTAAAAGGTCAGAGTTAAGGATCAGGTTTTTAAAATGACGACAACGCCTTTAAACTTTGGCTTTATTTGAGAGGGGAATGCCTCTGATTTTATTCCAAATAAATCGTTTAACAGATTTAATGATTTCCCAGTGAGTAAAAAAGTGGCTCCATCATTGATAATGAATGCTTAAAAGCATGGGCATTTTGTCATAGAGTATGTTTTTTAAAAGATTAAACACTTATGAACAGGATGATACAATAAATCATATCAATAGATAGTTGACATACTGTAAAGATACAGTGTACCCAACATGAATTATATAAGAATTTGTCATACAACCACCCTGAGCTGGTCCGTGCAGCTGCATGAGGAACTTAACAAATTAATTCATTAATGCACCAAAACACAACCAAAAAAAGACACAAAAAGTACATAATAACTGAGCACAACTAATGAAAAAAATCAATAAATGCTGAAATGAAAAATCAAAATGAGTCAAATTAGATTTAAAAACTGCATTGCAAGGCTAAATTAATTCACTTCTGATGTGCCCAGCTGTTTCTCAACAGTAGCCTCAAGTCAAGGACTGTATGATTTTATTCCAAAGCCCTTGTGAATCTTGGCTTGGCCCCACTAGATATGCAGTATCAGTTTTAGGATGAATTGCATCAGATACAAAGTGCAAAAGTTATATTTTCCAGTACAAACTGATAATGATATTTATTTTGATGAAGTGATTCAGGGTGAAATCAAATATTAAAAATGTAGTTTTCATATATATATATATGTATATATATGGCGAAAACTTTTCTGTTCGAATCTTTAAGTTTAAGTGGCTTTTACAGAAATCAAAATGAAAACAATCCCATATTTTCTGTGATATACCAGCAGTAGTATAGCTGTGAGTGATAAATATGCTCTCATTTTGCCAAATGTTGTTTTTTCATCTGAAGGGATAATTAAGGAAACACTGGAGCTTCCTCCTTTCATATTTGTAGAATTATACTGATCCTTTTACTCAGTGCCGGTCAGTGGCTGCACGCTGCATGACTTCATGAGAGGTTCCTTGTCATCAGTGCTTTAAACACAGACCCATGCTACAGAGCAGACCTCATAAAAAAACCTTCAGCCTTTGCAAGTTTCCCACATGAGAAATTTACTTGTCACGGACAATAAGCAGGGACCTAATGCAAAGATATTTTTTAGCGTATAAAATAACAGACATATGTTCTATGTATCCAAAGCCTAGCTTGAACTTTTTACAGTTCTAAAGTGAGTAAAATCTGATTGCACTGGGAACAAATGAGCATTTGTAAGGATAACCCCTAATCTTTGGTAGTCTTGAGTGTGAGCCTCAAGGCATAACAGCTTAAAGTCTGCTGGACCAAGCGGGCAATCGCTGTCTGACAGCACAGCCTGATCTGGATTTGAGAAATATCAGGGAGGTCGGACAGGCTGCACCATTTTCAGCCCCTTAAGAGAGCCGGGCACAGCTATACTCCATAGTTATGTTAGTTGTGTTAAACTGGTGCTCAATGTGTGAAATAAAGCTTTAGCTGTTCATCAAACACGCAAAAGAAACTTTGGAAACTGAAAGGTGCCCTTCAGTGTGATAAAGGGGAAAATAAATCTCTAAAAATCTAACTAAAAGTGGTAGAATCTTACCACTTAATAGGTGAAATCACCCACAAAAAAAGGCTCAACTGAGTTTGTTGTGTATTTCTCAAAGAAAGAAACACAAAAACATTGACAGCAACAAAGTAATTTGGTGACTTTTTAGGACCCCAGGACAGAAAAAGAGACCCAAAACGAAGCAAAAAAAAAACAGGTTTAAATGCTGTGAAGTGTCTCACTTCGTCTGTCGCTGCACAGATCTCCAGTAAATGTTTGCAGACCCAAACTTATTTGAGCCACCGGCTGGGCCAGGAGGTGAGACGGGTCTGATCGATCCATGTTTTCAGGGACATCTGGCCCACGTGACTGGCCTCATAAAAGCAGGCAGGACAGGCGCAGATCTTCCAGCTTCACCCCCCCGTCGTGCTCCGTCGTGCTCCATCGTGGTCCTGCGCCTGTCCTGGCACCTCCCGGGCTCCTTTGGCCGTAGGTCTGCCCCCCCCCCCCCCCCCCCCCCCCCCCCCCCC